AGAGAGGAATGAGGAATCATCTGCCAAGACCATCTTTTCCAGCTTCGCCAGTCCCGCCTCTGCCTGCGAGCCCTTGAGCATATCCTTGAACTCGTCACCAGAGGAAAGAGCACCGACGATTCCACCCCCGGTGATACCATCCTTGTATTCCCGGAAGATATTCCCTGCACTAGCGACTAGGACTCTCTCCTTGGTGTATCGCTGTGAGCCATACCACCACCGGCCGACGATGTAAGGGAGGAGAACACCTAGTAAGCCGCCATAGACGAGCAAAACGTACTTTCCATTTCCCTCCGTGACAATAAATTGCGGCAAAGCAATACCAATGCTGAAGCTTTGCTTGCCATCGGGATGGCCATACTGAATATAGTTATTACGAACTTCCTCATCTGTGAGTGCTTTGTAGGCCTTGGTCAGCTCAACGAAACGCTCGTTGAGCATTTCAATAGTCTCATTCTTCGCGGGATCCGGCCGAATTTTGTCGGGGTGATAGATAAGAGACAGACGCTTGTAATGTCTAGAGATCGCTTTTTCATCGGCGCTCTGATAGGCGACGCTAGTCAGTTGATAGTCTCCATCGTGTGGGCTTTATATGGAAGCTCACCCTTGAGATGCCAAGGATGTCATATGGATCCCAGATCTTGGGCGCTGTTCTGGCAGTGACAACAATCAAATAAACCATCCAAGCCATAACTGCATATCCCAAGACAACGGTAACGATGCGCTTAATCCTGCGCTCCTTGCGTAGACGCTTACGCTTCTGTGCTTCAATGAGATCGCCATGTTCCGGCTTGTAGTCCGATTTTATTCGAGGGGCGGTATTCTCAAGTTCTGCAATAATTGATTGAAAGGTTAAAATCCGGATAATATAGAATCAGCGTAAATCCAGACAAACGAGGGTGCTGACCTTTGCTCGGCTTGAGAAGGTTATATGTTAACGGGAATGTAACAAGACCCGTAAGGGTTAGGATGAAGAACGGGAAGAATTGACCCTGAAATGAGGTATAGTTGTCAGCTACTTCACCGAGAAGCTTGGAAAAACAGTTGAGTACTAACCTGTTCATCATAGGTGTAATCTGTAGACATGGTGAAGCGGATTTACAGAAGACACGGTCGCCCGCGATGGGCAAGACTATAGGACAACGTGTGACCGTCAGACACAAAATGTGCGGCGAGCTAAATAAATTCCTGAACAGACAAGCAATATGCGACAAATGTAGGATTAGGTGGCTGTTCCCAGGAGCATGTTCCCTTCCAGGGTAGGTAAAGGAGGGTGAGTGACAGAAGAGAAGGTTGTTCCGTCCGTAGTATCTCGATAATTATCGCATTCGCCGTGGTACTAACTAACCTTCAATCTGATCGACCGTGTCCTTTACGGGGCGGTCATGGCCCACACCGCCTTCCAAAAATAGCTTGGTGTAAGGGCGCTATCATCGCCACAAAAGTAAGGCAGACAAGCCGGTCTTGACCAGGCACAAAGACTACTGCTGACTACCAGCCCTTAAGGACGTAACTACCCTTTACCCTACGGAGTACCTAGTATGAGGACTACAACCTACTCCGTACAGTGAGCTTTTGGCAGCATGTTTCAAAGGTACATGATCATTATGATATACAGAGCACACCTCTCTATTAATTTTATACATGACGGATCATCACAATTCATTCATCGTGCTCGATGGCTCTATTCCTCCGGTGAACATAAAATCAACTCATGCGTCATAACGAGGTTTGAGCTTATTTTCTTTTTTCCATCTACGAACCCAAATTCGGGATCGATGGAACAGATGACCAGATACGGGAGGAAAAGTCTTAACTCAATGGTGTTCTCCTCTCGATATCGTTTGTTTCGGACAGCATGGTGGATCGTGTAATAGTTGGGGCAAAGAATCTGACAAAGAATGCGGCGGAGATACTTCAGGAGCCCTCCTGATTGACAGGGATTTCAAGCACCAACAGATGGTCAGATGCGAACTCAACCCACCAATCAGAAGAACCCTCGGTTCTCGACGTGACAAACGGAGTCATCTTCCGGACCAGGGACTCGTGGCCAAGTCGTAAGGGACCAATCCGACGCCCATACTGCTTTGCGCAGGAAGAGGGGTCTTCATTGCTACAAGTCGAAAGCTTGGTTTTCCCCACGGAACTGGTGCTCCCAACTATTTCCAAATTGGTGTTTTCCTGCTGTCGATAGGGTTGTCTATTATTGCAGGATGGTCTGTCCGGGTACCGGCTCTGGGTGTGGAGAATTCTCATTGAATTCCAACATTCCAAATGTTATGGTATGGGCGGTTATGGTGACAAGGCTTTTGATATTGATATGCCATTCACCCAGGTAGTAGTCTCAGACTCTGAGAGCTAACAAAGCTAGTTAGAAGAGACAATCTAAGAAATCCAGACATTAGAACATGGGTAACTTACGAGTCGATATAATCAAGTCCACCGAAGTATTCAAGCATGCTATAGCAAAGTCCAACGTCATCCCCCGGTTCACCACCAAAAAGACGACATTGCTCGGCCTCCAGCCGTAAGGCCTCTAGCCGCAACATGCGGTCACGCTTCTGCCATGTTGTACACCCATGATGCCAGGTCGGGGCGAAGGGTATCGAGATGGAGTCGAGTGAATCGCAGGCGGCAGGGGTCGTTTTAAGTCCAGCTGGACTGCGAGTGTAGTTGACGGGATATGGAGGCAGCTCAATGGGAGAGTGATTAGCGCTGCGGTTTCGAGATCGTGGGCGTGTGCGACGTCTGTTGTGCCTTTGTCCCATTCTCTATCCACCTAAGCGAGCGACGAGGACGGTTCTTCCGATAGTTTTCTTTTTCTTCTGCGACACCCGGAATTGACGAGAAAGCAAGCAGGCAAGGAGGAAATATCAGAACTTTTTGGGAAGAGCGTTATAAAGTCGTAATGAGGGAAGTGACCATCACCCCCTGGGAAGGATGAGATGAGGTGAAGGAAGGAATTAAAAAGGCCAAACCAGGAGACATCTAGCATCAGCTCCGTTATATACCATCGATGACTACAATGGAGTGTGCTGGCTCCAGTGGTGTGACTCACTAGGGCCGAAAATGGAGCCGGAGTTAAAAAGGGAAGAAAAATCTCATCATTCGGAACAGGGGATCCACAATAAGCCCCTACTTTCAGTGTACCATCTCCACACTCTGCAGTCTAGAAGCAAAAATACCTAACGTGCCCTTACTATGGTGAAAAATGGCCTCATCAAAATCTGGAATGGCGTAGCGGATTTGGATCTTGCGTGCTCTTGAGTCATCCTACCGTCAATGTCCTCAGGGAGCAAGACAAAAAAGTCAAGGCATGCTCAACTCAATTGTCACGCAAGATTTGATGCCAAAGTAACAAAAAATTCAAAAGTAATATTCATTGAGGTAATTACAGCCAATCGTCGTTAATGGCTCATTGTACGCCGTACCAGAGGAGGTATAATTTCTCATCTACAAAAAAAAAAATATTCGGAGTCCGGAGTATGGCTCCGTCGTAGGCAAATAGCAAGGGTCCGTATGCAAGTTGCGTAGATCCCGATCAGGAGACGTTAAAAACAGCCACACTAAGTAGATTTCGGAAGGCAGCGAAAATAAAGAGAGAAAAAAGAATTATTAATTTCAGTCGTGGCATGACGGCAATTCTCGTGCCGATCCCCTCCCACCTCTTCAAACTTGCCTGCTGACAATACCATACGAGGCCGATGCCACAGCTCCCGTGCCTAAACCTTCCCAGAAATGAGGGATGCCGTACGGACCGATCGGCGCGCTCACAGATCCGATACCAAGTGTAATTTTCCATAACAGGGAACATGATTTAGTCAGAAGAACACCGTAGAACATCTCCTCGTCATCCATCAACGGATTTCGCGGCATGACCGCAATGATCTCATAGGAATGGAACTCGGTCGTGTTTCAAAGTAGGTAATACAAAAGCGAAAGGTTGAAAGTTTCTTCTATCCTACCAAGGCAAGAGGGTTAGGTATCAGGCTGGGGTTTTTGATCATTCCGGCTTATTTTCTTGCTAGGTGTTGCTAGACTGGGTATCACCTCCTTTTCATAGCAGTAACTGTTTAGTTTGGGAGACTTAGGCACAAAAGTATTCAAAGCTAGACTAGGTAGAGCTTTACTATTGGGGAGCTGTAACTAGCCTCATGCGCGTTTCGAGTGGGCTGACCAGTCCATCATTAGGGCCGTACCTAAAACTTGACTAACGGGGAAGCTATCATCATTTGACACTTGTTTGTGCATGCGTCAGTGGTCCACTTGTGCAGGCACACCTGAAAATTTTTCGGAGCACATGGAGAGCTCTCATTGAAGGATATTTTGTGTGTCTCTTCAAACAGTTGTACGTATTGTTTGTTGGGTTTTACATGTACATAGGGCCATGTAAGGGTACTATTATGTCCGGAAGTCTCTGTATCCTTTTAACGTCTACTCACCTTCTTTTTCATTTGTCCTCAGTGACTCCACGCTCATGGTAAGTCATGGTTGTCTCAACCGCCAGGTAGATCATTCCTAGTTATTGAAGACCACCCAGTCGAGACAATAATTGGATACTGTCGGTCAAAGAAATTTTAGTTTGTCGGCCTTGTGGGAATGTAAAGCTACACAAGAAATCTTTGGCGAATACTATGGCGATTCTCGGCGAATCATTTTGTGCGGTGGTGCACTGTGGTCGTTTCAATCAACGGAGTGGAAAAGCCTTCTAGAAGGCGGGTATATATTATTACTATTGCCAATCTAGGTAAAAGTGGTGTGGATATGACAGAGATGGTTGAAAAGGTGGCGCCTAGGAAAAGCCCCAGAAGGGCGCCACTTACATAGCTATTCCTCCTTAGATGACTCCATAAGTTACACCGTAATCTCCTGCTAATTCGTCATATACGAGTTTAGAATGCCCTGTTCCAAAATGTCCGAGATCATTGACCCGAAAGCATGGAGTAGTTGAAACCACAAATTGATAGTGACGACTCCACCTGGAGTATATGCGAATGAGATTAAGAATTGTCGATCCCGCGGCGGATGATCTCCAACATTTCCTCACCCTTTGGTGCCGTCGTCAGGTTCTCATACCCGTCAGCGGTAACCAAAATGTCGTCCTCAATGCGGACGCCGCCAATAGGAATGTACTTCTCAGCCTCATCGAAATTAATGTATTTCGCCAATGGCTGGTTCTGCGCATTCAACAGGGCGAGCCTATTGAAGTAGATGCCCGGTTCAATGGTCACTACCATGCCCTCGTCCAATAATGGTACGGACCAATTGCTGTCGGTAAGAAGCGGTACGAAGTTATGGTTACCCCAGTTAGCTTGCTTTCCATCCAAAGCTGTGATGGGCTTTTCGGAGACATCGTGGACCTCGAGGCCGACATGATGACCCAGACCATGAGGAAAGAAAACAGCAGATGCCCCGGATTCATATATGGCACTTTTGCAGTCGTCCGTTATTATGTTGAGCTTCTGCAACCCTTTGATTGCAATGTCATGTGCAAGCAACTGCAGATCCCGAAATCGCACGCCTTTTCGGATGCGTCTAATACACTGTTCCTGCATCTCCTCAACTATACGGTAAATGTTCCTTGCACGTTCGCTAGGCCAGTCTGTCCACAAGGGAATCGTACGGGTCACGTCACATGCGTAGCATTTCCACTCTGCCCCAGCATCTAGACAGACCAGCTGTCTTCCATCCAGAGGCTCGTTATTTTTAACGTAATGAAGGACAGCTGCGTTCTCTCCTGAGCCAGCAATGATCGCATATGACTGGTTCTTGGCACCGTGGGAGATGCAGGTGGCTAAGAACGAACTCTCAATTTCCGCCTCTGTGGACATGCGGTGAATATCTTCAAGTATTTTGCGATGTGCTAGGCCAGATATATAATTTGCCTGGCGTATCATACGCAGCTCATATTCATCCTTGATAACCCGAGCTGCATTCATCGCCGGAAGTAGCTGTTCATTATCTAGCAAGGGGTGCTTTGATGGTATCACTGGCTTTTGGTTATCATGCAGGACATATATCGGATGGGACCCCTTGTTCTCGTTTGTCCACCACTCAAGATCATGTTGTAAGGCAGCGAAAAATTTGACACGGTCCACGTCGGTTTGTTTATGAGCCTCATCGATAGTCAGCGTAGGTCCCATCCATACCGCACGGCGTAAGTCGAAATCCGGGACGTATAACGTTAACAAATCCGCTTGAATATCGTAGGTCAGATAACAATCCGGCTCATCTATTCCGCTGAGGTAGTAGAAATACCGTCTCTGTCGGAATGGCTGTGGTTGATCTGAGTCGCCCCAATTGACCGTAGGCTGGCCGACAAGGTAGATAAGGCCTGAGGACACCCCCAATTTCATGGCCACCTTACGCGCATGTTGCTTTGCTGCGGACCGCCGCCTGTCAGCCTCCAAAAGCCATCAAGGTTACTCTAGGAGCTGGAAAGAAAGGGATGGAGGGGACAAATCCAAAAAATTCGGCTCCTTTACATACCTGGATATTTATCGCACTGGCTGCCTGACCAAGTAAGGCGGATATGGCAGGTATCGTCAGAGCGGATGACAACGTCAGATGGCTCTGAGACACGCATACTTGGGGATATGTGTGAACGCATATTTACGAAGGAGTGCGGAAAGGAGGGAGTGCTATATCTTTCTACATGAGAAGCCAAGGGGCTGCAACGAAACAAGAGAATGGGGAGAATAAGAGAAGGCAATACAGGAGCAAAGAGAGATGTATCATCGCTCAGCTTGTTTGTTTAATTTGGAGGCGGCTAAGTTGAGGTCGGGTGCGACTTACTGATACGGTACCGTACATCCGGTATTTAGACTGCACCTTGTGAAGGTTCTTCCTACTAGTAATACTGCTACCAGTACAGAGTACGGAGTAGTCACTCCAAAAATATCCAGGTACTGTAGTATGTGTGTACCTGTCCATAGGTATGTATGTACTGGACGCAGGGTCAACCTTCTTGTAATAACCATACAGTATGCCAGATTTTCTTGGTCGGTAGTAAGTAGAGGGTGTAAGCAGGACTCTAAGGAGTGGTAGGATAACTATCATTACTCATACCCCTTTTCTTAGCCTTGCATTCATGGGATACAAGCGTAGAGAATTCCAATTTCTGAAACTGGCGACAGGATATTATATGGAAGAAAACCGGCTACGGTCCCAATCAGTTCTTTGTAATACAGTTCGTTGAACAAAACATTCGTTATCCGAACGCAATTGTCCGGAAGCGTCGCTGCGCCTCCCCACATGGCGGCGAATCTGGACTGTTAACTTTGCTGTTCCTGTACTGTCAGCTCACCAACTCATCTTCTCATCTCATCATTATACCCTCTTCCTTCCGCCCCTTCACTTCCATCCACTTCGGTCGCTGCGGTTTATTTCTCTCTCTCTCTTGTTTTGCTCAACTCTTTCTATTATAATTTAAATTTGACGTCGAGTCCCAAACCGGTCAATGAACAATGCGGGGATCTGAGGCATCGGGGCTCAGTGCCCTATGGGGTGCTCCCTCGACCCTCACCACTTCCGTGATAAGCGATCCGACAACGTCACCAGCCTCGCAGTCTCGCTATCCGGCCACTGATCCTCAACGAGTGGCATCCGATATTGAACATGTCCTGTTGGCAATGTCCTCTCCAAGTCAGGATGGCGGTCTGGTCAGCGCGAGTGGCAATTCTTCGGGTTCTACCGGCAAGGGTATCTTGATCGGCGTCCTCTCCGCCTTCGGATCTGCAGCAGTTGCTGTGCTTGTTCTTGCGATATTCTTCTTTTTCAAGTATACTCAACGTGGTAGAATTATTTTGGACCGCATCGGGCGCCCGGGTGAATACGATGATGAGCAAGCGTTTCTGCGCGAGGAGACCGAGGCTTTGGAGGCCATGGATGATCTGTCGAGGTCCGAGTATCTGAGGGCAAAGGGTGAGTTTGCTCGTTAGCGACTAAACCCAAGATCCTGATGTGAGAGGATCACTCATCGCTAATCTGCGGTATCTTAGCATTCATCGAAGCTAACCCGCCCGAATCGATGCAAACCGATATCTCTCTCTCTCAGTTCCTCGCGATCCAAGAAAAGGGTGTTTCAGCATGGGAGTTCCAACCGGAGCTGGAAATCGCCAACTGCTTTGTCGAGGCCCGCACAGAGATTGAGTTCTACGATTCGGAATGCAGTGTGCAGACCAACCTACCTGTTCCGAAACAGAATGATGTTTACTATTGGGAAGCGAAGATATACGATAAACCCGAGAATACTCTCGTCGGTATTGGCATGACCACCAAGCCATATCCTTTGTTCCGGTTACCAGGTAGGTTTGGTATCGCTTCTGTGCATAGTGCCAAACGCTAATGTCACTGTTTCTTCGTAGGATACCATAGAGCCTCGGTAGCATACCAAACCACGGGTCACCGGAGATATAATCAGCCTTTTACACCAACGCCATATGGCCCTCCGCTTTCGCAAGGCGATGTGATCGGTGTAGGTTATCGGCCTCGCTCAGGTACGATATTCTTCACTCGGAATGGCAAGAAACTGGAAGATGTGGTCCATGGCCAAAAAGCGCAAAATTTCTTCCCCACTATCGGAGCAAATGGGCCCTGCACCATCCATGTCAACTTCGGTCAAATGGGCTTTGTGTTTATCGAGGCCAATGTCAAGAAATGGGGGTTGGCGCCAATGACGGGTAGTTTAGCCCCCCCGCCCCCGTATGGTAGCGAGCAGGGTAGCATTCTGCTGGAGTCCGGTCGCGAGAGTGCTGCTCAAATTTCCCAGCGGGTTTATCAGGATGCCAACAATGCACGTACGAGCTCCACAGTCAGAATCGTACCGTCAGCCAGTCCCGGTCCGGTCCGGTCCCCCACGGATATTTCCCTCGCCCAGCTAGCTCACATTCCTTCAAACGAAGATGCTGGAGAAGGCTCAAGCCGCACGAATGTTGGCGACGGGGAGCATCCTCCACTGTTGAATCCCCAAGATGTCGACCAGGCTCCTCCACCGGAATACTCGAGCCCCGATAGCAGCCGAAGAGGCAGTGAAGATCTGCCGCGCCAGGATCAACCACCGATACCTAGCTATGATGCGGCTGTCGGCAACAGGGATGACAATCCTTCGCGTCCGAGTGGAAACAACTAATTCAGCCGAGGCGTACAATTCAAATTTTCTGTTTCATTCTGTTATTAGCAAAACCCCCTATGATGTGTGTATATGGTCTTTGAGCCATCAAATATGGTGGCTTCCTCTCTGTTAATCGATTTTAGCGGCCACGGTTGGCGTTCCAATGGATGGGATTATTGCGGTTGGGGCTTTTATGGGCTTTATGCTACCCGGATGTGGCAATGACATGAAATAAATAACGTATATAGGGATTGGCTCTTTGTGCTTTGCTTTTCTGTCTCTTCAGATCGACATGCTTAGGGGGAGAGATAGTCACCACAACCACCAACGTTCTGGGCAAGCTTGCAGCTCGACCCAGGGCGTTTTCGGAATTCGCTTACCCCTGGAAGGGTCCGACATTTCAGACCTGTCAAATGATATCCTCTTTTGCTTTTCCTTTCAGAAGTACTTGCAACGGAATGACTCTATGCTGTGCGTGGAGTGACGCTCGAATGAGCCCAGCCACAAACAATGCCCTTTCGTGACGACATCTACACTCACATCTACTACTCTTGTCTGCTTGTACATGTAGTCGCAGCACCGCAGCTGACCTTTCATTGCCAATTTATGTTTTATATCTGCTAGCGGAATTGGTAGCCTCTCATGCTTCAATATATATTGACTACCGTGTTGTCTCCATTTGCGTAAAAGGGAGCCTTCTCTGCTGCCCGCTTTAGAAAATTCGATGCTGGCCGTCATAATACAAACTCTACCAGAATAATGTCTAGAATAAGATACGCGGTAGTAACGGAAGGGACGTTGATCAACGAGCCGCGTTTAGGAATAGCGTGGTGACAGTCTGCCGGTGGTAGTATCGAGATGATTGAATTTCGATTTGCTGGTGCTATTATTAGATCCCACATGGGAAATGGGACAGGTACTACTACTATTAGCACCTCAACTGGGACCTTATCACATTGACCCCTTGAGAGTTAAAGGGACAGGTTATAGGATACGTTTCCACACATCAAGGGAATATATTTCAATCCCGCCCAGTACATATCTTTCTTTCGACCGCGAGAGAGAGGGAGAGAGGGAACCACATTCTGCCGTAAGAATCCTTTGTTTGTTTGTTCCTTTGAATGACCCTGGGGCCAAGTGGCTCTCTTGTCCTTTTTTATAATTTAGTACATGCATTCATTGATCAGCACCGGCTCGCAAGGATAAGCGAGAGCACAAGCCCGCTACTTCCCACCATCACCGCTACTACTACCCCTACACCGAATGGTATGAGTACTCCACATATTCAGCTCGTAGGGCAGAAGCAAAAAAGCAAAGCAAAAGGGAAAAAGTGGGTCAGATGGATTACGGAGGACTACTCAGTCGGGCAATGAATTTCCCCACAATCTCAGATCGATCACCGAGTTTCGCACAGTCTGTCGACGTCATCCAACCATTCATTTCCTTTCAGCTCGCACGGTTACATTCGAGAGCTACTGCGCTAACTTTATTCCCCATCGGTTTAAATGAAAGAATGGGGCCTCTGCTTACCCGCCTTTTGCTCATGTGAGGGGGAAAGAAAGAAAAAGAAAAAAAAGAAAAAAAAAAGAAAGAAAGAGCCACAGCTAGGCCAAACGCTGTTCCTTTCGTTCCTGATCCTATTTTTCCCTTGTCCCTTCGTTCGCCAACTCGAAGTGCGCGGCACTACTCTTTAACCCCCTTTCAACTGGCTGGGGCTTCCCGCTACTTCATAACTTCCTTAAGTTGTCGTCGTTCCTTGTTGGACCCATCCGTCAATCGTGGTTCCCCGATCGCAGATTACCAGCCACATCTCCGCTCGCGAACTCCGACACGGAGGAAAAAGCAAATCCTGACCTAGAATAAGTTCTGGCTTGCGTAACTTGAGTCTTGTCGGAGATTCTGTGAGCAGTAGCAAGCTTACCGAAGGCAATTGCAATCAATTTGTGGACGCATTGGCCCAGTTTCTTCGTTTCTAGAAGCTCTTTGTCGGTGAGTCTTCAGCAATGATCATCGTTACATGTTGCGACGGGAGATCTCACAACCGTTCGCTAGTGCTCAAATAATTCCGCCAGTCCTGCACTCAGCCAGACTACACCTAAGGACCTGCAGAGCCATTGCGCATCTTCTTACTGCACTTCAATTGCGAAATCGGGTGCGACACGAAACTGCGGGAGGTCTGTCATTTCGCTATATTTCTGACGAGCAGAAGCAATGAGGTAGTTGTCGACCGGATGACGGACACTGCATTAGCTTTTAATCTTCCCTTCAACTGTGAACGTCGCAGTCGCCTTTGCGCTCTCTCCCCCTCCCTCTCTCTGTGATCCAAGCGGAGCAAATTGATCAACGCAGAGAAAAATACCACATTTAATATTCGGCACCTCCACAGATAGGATTTTTATTCTCCATATCTGTTTACGGAAGAAAAGCGTATCTGTTTCCTTGGTTACATACAAATTAGAATGAATCAGCTACGAGGTAAACGGGCTTCGGGAAGAGGAAAAGGGAGGGGAAAAACAAAGCAGGATATTGCAGGCCCAGAGCTCGATGTTGAAGCCCTTACAACGGGTCCGTTTGGGAGAGCCCCCGAGCCCGGAAAAGGAGATTTACAAGTAATTGTCTTGGTAAGTCTAGCCTACATTTCATGTTTAACATTTCCCATTCCCTAAATCACCGTTCTGTCCCGATCCACATCATGGTTTCGTATCCGAAGGACAAGGTCTTGTGGCTCTTGCCTAAACCACACTCGGCGCTCTATCGCTTCCGCGGTATCATACCACTCTTGGGATTCGACAGATAGGTTGAGAGCTAACTTTTCTCAACAGGGTCCAACAGGAGGCCCACGGGAGGATCGAGTCACGGGCCTTCTTGTCCGGTCGACATCAACCAGCTGGAGACCAGACACCGTGATTGCGGTCGATGCGGGAACCCTACTCAGTGGAATCATTCATATCCTAGAAACACACAATGACATGGATGAAATGATTGTACAGACTGGCCCCTTTACCAAAATGTCTTTACCTTTTCAGACTGCTCCAGCAAATGCAGCACACATCCTGCGAGAAGTCATTGGACCCATCTTGGTCACTCATCCGCACTTAGACCATTTCTCAGGATTCGCCATGAACTCACCAATCCTGGAGGCAACAAACGGTCCCAAGACAGTAGCTGCACTGCCTTCTGTCATCTCCGCTATCAAGACTCATATTTTTAACGAAGTGATTTGGCCAAACCTCTCAGACGAAGACGGCGGTGCAGGTCTGATCACCTACCAACGCTTGCAAGAGGGAGGCAACCCAAGGATGGGCCGAGATGAAATGAAAGGCTATACTCGGGCTTGTGAGGGCTTGTACTACAGGTGTTTTGGAGTCAGCCATGGGTGTACTAGGAGACACTATGCCCCGGAAGCCGATATGCGGCGCTCGTTGAGTAACGCAATGTACCTGGGTGATCCATTCATGATGCGTTCAGCTTCCAGAGCCGCGATCTCTTTGACTCAAGAAGAGCCAGGGTAAGTTTGGTCCCTTCGGATTTTATCCGTAACACTAAATGAACGAATTACATAGGTACATGTCTCCGGCCATGCATAGACCCTCAAACCCGAGAGATGCCTGGATGAGCGTTGAAAGCTCTGCATTTTTCATACGCGAGCAACACTCGGGTCGCGAGATTATCATTTTCGGTGACGTTGAACCTGATTCGATCTCAGTCGAGCCCCGCAACAGGCGTGTTTGGGAGGCGGCAGCTCCTCGTATAGCTTCAGGGAATCTACGCGCGATCTTTATCGAATGCTCTTATACTGATGATGTGGAGGATGAGTCCTTGTACGGCCATCTCTGCCCCCGACACTTAGTCGCAGAACTCAAGGTGCTGGCTAGCGAAGTTGTTAAGGCCAAATACCCAAGCGGCTTGGGGACTGGAAAACGCAAACGCCCTAGCAGAGAAACACCCACAGACTCGCAGCCAACGAGTCCTAAGACTCGGCGGTCACAAGATGTACTTCCCGGGGCTTCTACAACGGCTATTACCAGCGCCCCCCAGGTAGTGCCCGGCAGTTCCACTGACCCTTCTGGTACTGGGGCTACGGGAGCCCTGACTGAGGAGTCTAACTGGCCGCATGATGAGGCACCTTTGGTTAACTTAAAGGTTTATCTCATTCACATTAAAGAAGACATGGATGGTGGCCCGTGTCCAAGTGATACGATCGTTACACAGCTTCGAGACCAGGCGCAAGCTGCAAATCTAGGATGCGAATTCCATGCTCCCAAACGAGGCGAGAGTGTTCAGATTTGATGGCGGCAGGCCGACGAGGTTTCTATCTGGTTTTCTGGGTCTCATGTACTCTGTACGAACTATGTTCACAGGCGCCATGCGACCCAGGACTGATATAAGGTGCCTGTATCTTCCTCATCATACTAGGAGGCTCCCCATACGCGGAAACTGATTCGCTTTACGATCTTGGTGTTACGCGCATTGTTTTTGACGCAGGGCTGAGCCCATCTTCTAAGTTTCAGCGTTGCTCAACGATGTACATATGTCTACTTTGCTTTTCTCGGTGCTCTATCTATGTATGCTACGAAATGTTACGAAATAGTCCTTTCACGGCTGGACAGCAAGCACAGTGTATCAACAGATTTTGACTGTTTTCAGCTTCCTCTACTGTTCATACTCGTGTTCGAATGTCTATAATTTGAACAAATACAACAATTATACCAAAACGTTGCCGGCGGTACCAACACCTCTTCGTCGAGCAAGCAATGCCCCATCGACTAGGTATTTTAAATATAATCATTATAACAACCAACTATAGTGCCAAGTATAGAACAAGACGGCAGTATCGAACGAACTTACCGACGGTTTTACTCTCTTGCCGAAGCAATTACATCTTCCCACAGAGACCCTTCACCGTGAGGGATCCTCAGACCCGTGGATTGCTCACCCACCTGCTCTTTACTAGACAATTGATTCTCAGAGAGATCCAGGATGGCCTCGCCATCTCTTGCAAAAGCAATAAGATCCTCTTCAGTACCCCATTCACCCATGGCCATCAAACCAACGGGCACACGAGTATCCTGCACATATCCAGCAGGACAGTTGATAGCCGGACAACCGGTGAAATTAGCTAACCACACGTACTCCATATTGCGCACGGAGGACTTCCCGTCCGACAAGCCGCGGGAAAGGTCCGCCTCACCGTTAATCTTCCAGCCGGGGATGGGCGTACTGGGGGT